CTGAAGGAGGATTTAAATCTGAGTTCGAGCCCAGACCTCAGTTCAACTGAGGATTTGTGACTGGAATTGACATGAGCTGATCACTCATGATCTCCATGTAACCTGTTAGAACTTGAGCACTGGAATGTTCCAGAGAAGACTATGTTCAGGCTGATGGAGACCTGTGCACAAAGACTGACTGACTGCTGAATGCAGACCTGGAGGGGGTCAATATTTATGCAATCACTTATTTTACCTGGTGTGTTTTTATTCAGCTGACATTAATTTGTAGAAATCTGTTGTCACTTTGACAGGCAAGAGTGTTTTTTTGTAAATTCTTGTCAAAAAATCCAAATTAATTTGATCATTCAGTGTTAACAAGAAAAAAAAGGGAACAGCTCACACAGTAACAGTCACATTCACCAGGATCCGTCAGTGTCCACATACTTATGGCACTTTGACAGTATCTCTGTTAGCGCCAAGTTCACTTCCTGTCAGGAGACACCACAGAGGAAGAAATGCTGCTCACTTCCAGCTTCCTGTCGACATGCTCAGTACAGCTTCCTGTCAGGAAGTCTGAAGCAGCTGGCCTTTACTTCCTGTTGTTGAACTGATGTCACACAGCACCACTGACCTGCAGTTAGCTCTTCTTAGCATACACACTGAAAGCAAGGAAAACGGTTAGCTTAGCTTAGAGTACACACTAAAAAGAGGAGAAACTGTTAGCTTAGCTTAGAATATACACTGAAAACACAGAAATCGTCAGCTTAACTTACCCTGAAAACCAGGGGAAAACAAAAAGGGGGGCAAACTGTTTGTTTAGCTTAGCATATAGCCTGAAAACAGACAGAAACTGTTAGCTTAGCTTAGCATACGGACTGACAGCAGGAGAAAATGTTAGCTTAGCATACGGACTGACAAGAGGAGAAAATGTTAGCTTTGCTTCACATAGACACTGAAATCATGGTAAACTGTTAGCTTAGTTTAACATAACTGCAAACGGGGAAACTGTTACCTCGGTGTAGTACACAGACTGTGCACAGGTGATTTTTGTACAGGTATGCTTGTATACAGGTGTACTGATCACATGTCTTCTGCAGGTTACCTTACAATCAGTATTTTGGTGGCGTGTCGTCGATGAGTAAAGAGCAGTACTTGAAGATCAATGGTTTCCCCAACAACTACTGGGGCTGGGGAGGGGAGGACGACGACATCTACAACAGGTAACAGCAGCTCAACACAGGTAGACGTCAGACAGGTTGGATTTAAACATAACTTTAGTCTTTTGTACTTTTTTAGAGTTTAGAAGTTTTTAAAAAATGCATTTTCAATGATTTTGAGGTTGAATTAATATTTTGGGATATTTTATTAATTTCTACGATTTTTTTCAAGGTTATTTATTTGATATAATATTTGAAACTACCTCTGAGTTTTTTTTTTTTATTAATAGTTTTGGATATGTCATTAATTTAAAAAAAATAATGATAATATTGGGTGGTTATTTGATTTGTTTTTAAGAATTTTCTTGAAAACATTTGGGTATATTATCCATTCTATAGACATGTTGTAAATGCTCTTGAATATTCTATAATCCAAACATTTGAACAGTTTCATGTGCGTAACACATGTTTCGCTCATGAAAACCTGCATCCTTCCTCTGTGGGTTTGTGTGAAAACCTGAAACAGCAGAAACGGGAGGAAACTCATGGAAACGCGTTGGTGTGTCGACTTTCTGTTTGCCTCTGTGGAGCATTGTGTGCAGCCGTCGGACAGGGAAGGGTTCTGATGGACTTTTCACTCTGTGTTGGCAGGTTGGCATCCAAAGGCATGTCCATCTCCAGGCCCAGCGGAGACGTGGGAAAGTGCCGCATGATCCGACATGACAGAGACAGGCAGAATGAGCCCAACCCTCAGAGGTAAAACGTGCCGTCCTGTCTGTTAAACACAAGGTCCGAGTGCTGGACGGCACATTTTAATAAACTCAAGGAGCCTCAATAAGCAGAATAGTTCCTGACAGTCTGTGTGCTGGGTTTGCTGTCCCACAGAAATGCAGTCTGTTAATGTTCCTGCAGCCTCCTCCTGCTCACAGCAGTTCGTTAACTCCTCTTATCACTGATAAATGTAAACAGCAGAAAGGCAGAGCTGGATGAAGCTGTAGCAACCGACTGTGCTCTGTATTCTGGTTCATGTTTTTTTGTTAACTTTGGCTGTAAGGAGTTGTGTAGCATCGTTTGTTACCTGAAGGTGTCTCTCACAAGACCATCTCACTGTGCATGTCACCTGCTGATCAACAGCTCAGCAGGAAATCTGAACAATGGGGTTCATTTATTGACTTCCAGTGCCTGTATTTTCTGCATTGGTCTTGGCGTGGCGGCTGCACTGCTCTCACTGCTCTGTAATGCTGTTTATACATGAAATGAGTTCAGGAACCCATGAGCAAAATCCTGCTAGAACCTGAACTCTAGAGCCTGCTCCCGGGCCCGACTCCAATGAATTATCACTAAAATGTGACTCAGATGATGTGTGTTCTGAGAGTTTGGTGTTTCCATGCTGCAGGTTCGACCGGATCGCTCACACCAGAGAGACCATGAACAAAGACGGCATCAACTCTCTGTCCTACCGGGTGGTGAGTGTGGACAAGCTGGACCTGTTCACCAAGATCACCGTGGACGTGGGCAGGCCCTGAGGGGCCCTGAGGGGCCCTGAGGGGCTGGGAACGGGATTGCTGCAGTGAAAACCACATGGTGCCTCTGACACTTGAAGCCTTACGTTCTGGTTCTGGTTCTGGACCGGAACTGCTGGACACTTGTTTTGCACAGACTGCGCTGCCTCGAGGACCCGTCTCTGATTGGTCAGCTGTAAACCAATCAGCCTGCATCAGATGCTGCTGCAGCTGCAACACGTTTTGAACAGGCTTTTATTTTGAAAAACAATCAGATCCGCCCTGCTGGGTCACTTGGTATGGTCCGCTGCTGGGGATTGTGGGTAACACACAGGATGGGTTCACATCTGGTTCTGGTCTTGGTTGTGGGTTAGGTCTGTGTTCTCATGATGGTCCAGGTCCTGGCTCCGGTTAAATTTGTGGCCCTTGTTTGGGTGTCCTTGTCCAGATCCTGTTCCTGGTCCAGGTCCTGGGTCATGAGGTCTGCACTACAAAGCCAGTTCAGCATATCCACACGATCATTTCACTGTCTGGCTTAATTCAACCGAAGCACCGCAAACAGGATGAGCCGTCTTATGACAGCTCAGTAAGTCAACAATAGGAGGCGGAGCTGATAGCAGAGGACCAATCACACGTCTGCTAGCACGAGTCAGGAACAAAGTGTAAAATCAGAGGAATACAGAGATTGTAAACACAAAATACTGACTAAAACAAGAGTGCTGCAGCAGCCAAAGTGAACTTATCAATATTACTACAAAATGATGAGGGCGGAGTGGAGTTGTACTTTTTAGTAAATGACTGTTGTGTAGATGTGTGGTTCTGGCATTCAGCCTCACATGGTTTTATCTTTTTTATTCATTCAGCTGCTTGGCAGTTTTAAATGGTTTTGGAGAACAAATATAGGAACATGATTCAAACGGATAATCAGACTTTATAGTAAATCGTACGAGGTTTGAGTGTTTTAATGAGGTGGAGGTGCCGCCCTGTGTTAGGATCACATGGCTGTGACATCACTTGCAGCAGGGCTCCAGACCCACTTTCTTTAATTTATTGATTTATTTTTAGTAGAGCAAAGGGCCATGAGCGGGAGTCGAACTCACGACCGCTGCGTCGGGGAGCTACAGCCCTGTTCATGGGACGCCGTCTTATCCGGTTGAGCTACCGGGGTGCCCTCCAGACCCACTTTCTCATCTGGTCGCACCTCCCACCTTGTCACAGGCAAAACATATGACACGCTGAACATTTTCTTATCGATAGACTCGACAACGTCCCGCTGTTCCCTAAACGCCTCGTCTTGCAGGCTGCAGTCGCTGCTGCCTGGTGGCCGCGGCGCTCACACAGGTGACCGAAAATATTTCAGATCGGACGTTCTGATGTCAGGTTTGTCCAACATGAAGCAGAGGGAGGTTTTTCTACATGCGCTGTCTTCTATGAGTGACGCTCTGCTTTTCATGACAAAGTCGCTTTTTTAAGCATGAATACTGCAGCACAAGGACTGCTTCCCACCACTGTGGTGAACACAGCCGCCGCCTGCGCCGGTTACACAGACCAGTACAGCTTCATGATCATCATGCACTAGCACCAGCACAGTCTGGAGCCCTGCTGGCAGCTCTACAGTTCTCACCTTCCCCTCTGCTGATGCTGTCAGAGTACTGCAGGAGGTTCTTTTATATCCGCTGATCTGGTATCTAGAACATCATCGGCTGCAGAGCTGTTGCCATGGAGATGTACCCCGACAAGTAGTCAGCCACCGTCATAGTCCAGAAAACCCAAAGTTAAACCTGAAGTTACCTGAATAGCCTCAAATCCTGCTTCATGGTGCAGCCCTCAGGTCCTGGTCCTGGTCCTGGTTCTGGTCCTGCTTCAGGTTAAGGTCCAGAAGCAGCCAGTGTCTGAGTGACCATCATGTTCCTGATCTGAAAGTCAAACTAAACGAGCAACAAACTGGAGCTTTGGACCACAGAAACACAAACAGTAAACAAACAGTAAACAAACAAACAGTAAACAGACAGTGAAGAAAACAATGTAAACAAGCAGCTGAGCAGGTCAGAGGTCAGAAGCAGCTGTGAACCTTGGAGCCTGTGAACTGACGGAGCGTCTCCACGTTTCTGTGATTTTTATCCTCAAACCAAAGTGTGACTGAAACTCTTCAAGACGCCTGATTCAGTTATTGATTCATCTGCTGATTGATCGTCTCAGACTGTCAAAGCCATCTGATTGCACCAAAAAGACAAGAATTTGATAAATCTTTATCAGGATTAATGTCCAGCTGATTGATTACTGATCGCCGCTGTAAATCCTCTTTGATTGATTGATTGATTGATTGATTGATTGTATTTCTAAGTGTCCTTACCTGAGCTGTTGGTACCAAAGACTTTATTGATCCTGTGAACGAGGTCACCTGACTGCTGGACGAGCTGATTATCGATGACAACAAGCTGTGTGTGTGTCTGTGTGTGTGTGTCTGTGTTGTGCTGCATGTGTGTTTCCTCTCCTGACTCTTTCAGGTAAATCTCTTTGTGTTCTTGTTGACAGGTTTGTTTGTATCTACAGACCAAAAATCACCTTTCAATGTGCCTTAAAGTGAACTGTACAGTGTAACTGCTCTGACTGGGTTAACTGGTGGACCAACCAGTAAGTGTAAATGTGACAAATAGAAGTGAGGAGCTGAGCGGACGTCTGTGTGTTTATTTGTACTGTTAAAGTCCAGAGAGCTGAACTACAGAGAAACCTGTCTGTTGAGCTTTTAATGTCACCAAGGAGGCTCTGTTTTAACCAGCAAGATCACCATGGCAACTGATGCTGAACAACTGGATCACCGCAGTAACTAAAGCCACACAGCGAGTTCAC